ATGCTAATAATTAGGAAGCACTACCAGTAGTTTTCCCATGTTCTTTTCCATGTCCCATGAGCCGATAGTTTAGCTGCATTTTCCATTCATTGTTAGTATTTAAAGCATTGCATTTTTTTAATGAGATATCAGAAAATTGCTCCAAGATTGCTCTTTCTCTTCTTAACTGCTTGGGAGAATTGACCCATCTCTAATTGGGTTGCATCATGAGGCATTATATCGAACACCTGGAATGCATCTCAAATTATACCAAAAACCACAAAGAATGAGCTTTCACATCACCAAAATAATAATATTGTGTGTGTTTTTGAAAAGCCTTTAAGTAGCCAAAATCATAAATTATATATGGATTTAGTTTACAAAATAAAAAAAAAAGAGCATAATGTCTTTGAGTGAATGAATTTTTTGACTGAAGTAAGTCAAATGGTAACCATAGTGAAACAAAACTATAATTAGTTTAGAATACAATTTACTCTTTATTTTATATATTCATAATTATGTTATGTTAGTAAAAGAAATCAAGATTCCCCTATGTTTTTAACCTCTTATTTAGTTTGAAAGACAAGAAACCATGATGAGAAATTGGTAGGTCACAAGGTACACACAAGAAACTTCCAATTTAATTTGGGAGACAAGTGTCTTATGGGAAACAAGCCGTATGCACGAGGATTTGGATGCTAACACGCAAATGTTTGTTTGGTCATCTTTATAGAGTTGGGATCATACGAATATTTTTTTTCTAAAAATAAGTGTCGATATTATTATTTTAATTTGTTTTAAAATAAACGTTCATTTCAGAAGTAAGGGTGTGTTTGGCATCCATATATGATAGAACATGACATGACGAAACAGTCACTAAAATGAAATCAAGTTTATAAGCATCAAAAAATTTAAGCGTCCTAATAAACTGTTTTATAAAACTTAATTAATTTATCGGATCAAAAAATAAAGCATCCTATGTAAATGTGTCGTAATAGTTTACAAGTCGTTTTTTTGGCATTTTAACAAGTTTTTTAACACCTACAAAGCGTCGCATTAGTAATTTTATAGTACACTATTTGAAAAAGTGTCTAATAAAAAACAAGTGTCCTATAAAAAAAAGGGTTTATAGGACACTTTCTAAAAAAATTCCTATAAAATTTTTAATGTGATGCTTTGTAGTAAAAGTGTTTTAAAAAACTTGTTAACACGTCAAAAAAATTGTTCTATAAATTTATTACAACGCCTATAGATATGACATTTTATTTTTTAGTCTTATGAATTAAGTATTATAAAACAGTATATTAGGATGCTTAAAAATTGGTGGCACCCTATAAACACAATTTTGTTGTAGTGAGTTGTTTAACGTTTGAAAAGACAGAACAACAGAAAACAAAACAGATAAAATGACCAATTTACCCCGAATGAGTTGTTTATATATTTTATATATTTTGATTAATTATGTAATTTATTAAGTTATAAAAAATAAATATTTTTTATAACAATATATATCATAAGAAAGTTTTTATCAAAACGATTACAATGACACCAAAAATAAAAAGTTTATGTAGTTT